TGCGGGCCATGGCGCAGGCCATAGCAGGCGTGGCGCTTTCTCGACACCCGAGGGGGTGCGCAGGGGGTGGTCCCCGAGCGCGCGGCCGCTATCCGTGCCAGTCGCCAGGCATAGCAGGCGTGCGCACTTCTTAGACACCATAAGGGGTTGCGCAGGGGGTGGGTGCCCTGAGCGCGGCCGCTATCCGATGCCCAGCGTCCAGGCATTAGCAGGCGTGGCACACTTTCTCAGAACACCATAGGGTTGTGAGAAGGGTGTGGTCCCTGAGCGCGGGCCGCTATCCGTGGTCGTCCAGGCCCCATAGCCAGGCGTGGCACTTCTAGACACCAAAAGGGTGCGCAGGGGGTGGTCCCTGAGCGCGGCCGCGATCCGTGCCAGTCGTCCCAGGGCATAAGCAGGCGTGGCACTTTCGGAAACCATAGGGGGGTGCGCAGGGGGTGGTCCATGAGCGCGGCCGCATATCCGTGGCCAGTCGTCCACGCCATAGCAGGAGTGGCACTTCTCGACACCATAGGGGGTGCCGGGTGGTCCCTGAGCGCGGCCGCTATCCGTGCCAGTCGTCCAGGCATAGCAGGCGTGGCACTTTCTCGACACCATAGGGGGTGCGCAGGGGGTGGTCCCTGAGCGCGGCCGCTATCCGTGCCAGTCGTCCAGGCATAGCAGGCGTGGCACTTTCTCGACACCATAGGGGGTGCGCAGGGGGTGGTCCCTGAGCGCGGCCGCTATCCGTGCCAGTCGTCCAGGCAGGCAGCAGGCGTGGCACCCTGTATCTGCCAGACATAGCCACTAGGGGGTGCGCAGGGGGTGGCCCCTCCGCGAGCGCGGCCGCTATCCGTGCCAGTCGTCCAGGCATAGCAGGCGTGGCACTTTCTCGACACCATAGGGGGTGCGCAGGGGGTGGTCCCTGAGCGCGGCCGCTATCCGTGCCAGTCGTCCAGGCATAGCAGGCGTGGCACTTTCTCGACACCATAGGGGGTGCGCAGGGGGTGGTCCCTGAGCGCGGCCGCTATCCGTGCCAGTCGTCCAGGCATAGCAGGCGTGGCACTTTCTAGACACCATAGGGGGTGCGCAGGGGGTGGTCCCTGAGCGCGGCCGCTATCCGTGCCAGTCGTCCAGGCATAGCAGGCGTGGCACTTTCTCGACACCATAGGGGGTGCGCAGGGGGTGGTCCCTGAGCGCGGCCGCTATCCGTGCCAGTCGTCCAGGCATAGCAGGCGTGGCACTTTCTCGACACCATAGGGGGTGCGCAGGGGGTGGTCCCTGAGCGCGGCCGCTATCCGTGCCAGTCGTCCAGGCATAGCAGGCGTGGCACTTTCTCGACACCATAGGGGGTGCGCAGGGGGTGGTCCCTGAGCGCGGCCGCTATCCGTGCCAGTCGCCCAGGCATAGCAGGCGTGGCACTTTCTCGACACCATAGGGGGTGCGCAGGGGGTGGTCCCTGAGCGCGGCCGCTATCCGTGCCAGTCGTCCAGGCATAGCAGGCGTGGCATTTTCTCGACACCATAAAGGGGGTGCGCAGGGGGTGGTCCCTGAGCGCGGCCGCTGTCCGTGCCAGTCGTCCAGGCATAGCAGGCGTGGCACTTTCTCGACACAATAGGGGGTGCGCAGGGGGTGGCCCCCGAGCGCGGCCGCTATCCGTGCCAGTCGCCCAGGCATAGCAGGCGTGGCACTTTCTCGACACCATAGGAGGTGCACAAGGGGTGGTCCCTGAGCGCGGCCGCTATCCGTGCCAGTCGTCCAGGCATAGCAGGCGTGGCACTTTCTAGACACCATAGGGGGTGCGCAGGGGGTGGTCCCTGAGCGCGGCCGCTGGCTGGCTCGAATCTGTCCTTGATGGAGGATAGAAGGCTAGGAAGAGGGAGGAGGTTCAAGCAATACGGCGTTGGATGACACAGAGGGGAGCATTCGCGACGAGGGCCGAGAACGCAGAATTGCGCATATATTATAAACTTAAGCAAGCACATAAGATTGAAATTGAGTATGTGGGGTTCCTCGGTAGCGTAATTGTATGTTTTTTGGCAACTCGATTGCGAAATCCTTCCGGCACCGAAGGTTTTTGAAGGATTTCGGCATGCGCGCGCGACGACGCGCGCGTGCGCACTTCGTCCAATGTTTTTCCAGGGATTCGTGAAAAAGTGTTATATTAGAACCAAAAATGTCACCTCATAATGTTTTTTTTTACAAGGGAACCTCAGGGGGGGGAACCCGGCCCAGCTGGGATAGTATGATTTCATATTTAGCATGGACGAGTGTGCAGAATATATGCATGAAATCATGAAACCCAAGGGGAACCGATAAGTCCGGGGGGGGGAGGGGGGTAGAATCTATTAGTCATTTAGAAAGGAGAATTGATCTTTACCAATCATTTGACACATACCATGCTCTTGCAAACATCCCACCCACCCACCCGCAACTTGGTTTGCAAAACCTCTTAGGACCGACTACGACGACACCGACGACAACGACTACGACGACACCGACGACGACAACGACGACGACGACAACGACTACTACGACGTCTCCGACGACTTCGATGACAACGACAACGACAACGACGACGACGACACCGACGACGATACCGACGAAAAAACGACGCTGACGCCGACGCCGACGACGACGACAACGATGACAACGCCGACGACGACAACGACCACGCCGACGACGACGACGTCGACGACGCCGACAACGACGGCGACGACAACGCCGACGCCGACGACGACGACGATGACAACGCCGACGACGACGACGACGCCGACGAAGCCGACGACGACGACGATGACGACGACGAAGACGTCGCCAACGAAGACGACGACGACGACGAGGGGTGGAGGGAGGACGACGACGGCGACGAGGGAGGAGGGAGGACGGTGACGACGCGAACGACAAAGAAGGAGGAAGGACGGCGACGCCGACGACGACAACGACGAGGGAGGTGGGACGACGACGACGACGACGACGGCGACGAAATAGGAGAGACGACGACGAGACGCCGACGACGGACGACGACGATGACGACGAGGGAGGAGGAGGAAGGACGACCACGGCGACAACAACGACGGAAACGACCACGACGCCAAAGAGGACGACGACGCCGAACACGAGGAAAGACAGAGGACGACGTAGGCGACGACGACGACGACGCGGGAGGAGGGAGGACGGCGACGACGACGACGACGACGCAAGAGCGCGCGCGCACGCTTTTGTTGAAAATCCGTGTTGCGAAACCTTGTGATTTCGTAGGTTGTTTGGACACACGAGTTTGAAATCCTTCCGGAACCGATGGGTTTTGAAGGATTTCGGCATACGCGCGCGACGAAGCGCGCGTGCGCACTTCGTCCCGTTTTTTGCAGAGGATTATCGCGACGGCACACGCGCAAGGGCGTTCGACAGATTTCGACATGCGCGCGCGCGAAGCCCGTTTAATAGGATGTTGTTAAAACCTTGAAAACAACAATCGTTTCCTTAAGATTTCGCAAGAACTCGCGCGTAAACTGTTTTAGCAAATCCGTGTTGCGAAACCTTGTGTTTTGCATGTTTTTTGGAAACTCGATTGCGAAATCCTTCCGACACCGAAGGTTTTGGGAGGATTTCGGCACGCGCGCGCGACGGCGCGCGCGTGCGCACGTCGTCCCATTTTTTGTAAGGGATTCGTGAAAAAGTGCGATGCTAGAGCAAAAGATGTCCCCGCGTATCGTTTTTTACGAAGGGAACCTCAGGGGGGTCGATACCGGCTCCCTTAGGATCATGTACATTCATATTTAAGATGGACATGTGGTCATAATCATATTTGATTCACCTACCCGAAGGGGGGGGGGATAACGCCGGGGGGGGGGGGCAGAGTTTATTATCTTTTTAAAAAGGAGAATCTAAGCGGCGGCGGGGCGGCGACAGGGCGGCGACGAGGCGGCGACGGCGACCACGGTGCCGCCATACCGCCACGCAGGCCCAGACGACAGGCGGCGACGACGAGGTGACGGGGCGGCGACGGCGAGCACGGAGCCGCTAGACTACCACCCAGGCCAAGTTCGTTAGAAGAGAAATAAGAACCCCTAAGTGCAAGGACTGTTTGGGGAACCGCGAGTAGCACGAATACTAATATCATGACTACTGCTACGAATACCACTACAGATGCAACTCGTTGACGAATGCGAGCGATATTGATACGATGGGAAACCACGGGAAACAACGAGAGATCACGGGAGACCACGGGAGAACACGGAAGGCCACGGGAGACCACGGAAAACCAAAGCGCTTGACCGATCCCAGATCCGGCGATCCCCGTACTCAGTTTCGTTGAAGATAGGAACCTTACGTACAGAGAAGATATACGGGGAACTTCCTGACCTCCGCACGGATTTCTTGGATCGGCGGTGGAACCCCTTCCCTGGCGCGCGGAGCTCGCCAGGGCGGCGCTGGAGACGCTGCCAGGGCGGCGCTGGAGAACTGTTGGTTGGCGAATCGCGGTTGGGAAAATCTCGGGTCGCTGACGCCTGGGGACTGGGGCGTGGATGGCGTGTGCGCCAAAGCGTTGCGGGCCAGAGCAGGCGGCGCGAAACGCTGTCCACAAATTCCCGACCGTATGTTGCTGCCGTTTTTCGTCCACCTTTGGGGGCGCACTAACCCGCAAGCCCGGGCCAGTCAAGCCTTGCAAAATCCTGCAGGCTTTTGCAAGATCCTGCAGGATACTGCACCCAAGCCCGGGTCAGTGCGACCCTGGCCCTTCAGAATCCTGTAAGATCAGGCGCTTTCACTGACACCCGTTTGCATTGACCCCCATCTCTTGAGCCCCGACCTCCTCGCTGTGCAAGGGCTCCGGCACACACTCTGACGGACGGCATGTTCTGAGCGTGCTCGGTCGCTACCCCGCGCACTCCTCTCCCTCTGCTTAGTAGCACCCACCGTGCCCAATGCGGCCACGTGCACCCCACGTCTGCCTTAGAGCGCGGCTCGAGTTCTCGCCGCTGCGACCAAAAGTTGATGCCGCTTTTCGTTCTTCGGGCCTCGTCGCACGCCCACCACGCCGCCCCCAGCTCCGCCAGCCCAGCCTGGGCGGCGTGGGCCGCGGCCTTCGCCTCCATCGCGTCCACGAGGCGGTGCTCCTGGTCTGAAGTAATCCGCAGGACGGTCCGGGAGGACTTGACGTCCTCTCCCCTGGCAGGAGGATCGCCAGCCGTGCTGGGAGATGCTCGAAGTATACACCAAGTCGTCTGGTCGGCCGAGGAGCTCGGAGTATAGACGCCTTAGCTTACCAAGCTGCGGGGTGCTGGAGCGCATAGACACCGAACCTCTTCAACGAAATCCTCGGCTCCTTGGCCGATCAGACGGCGTGGTGTGTACGTCGAGCCCCCTCCGAAATCCACAGACGCACTGATCTTGGCAAGGGCACATTCCCGGGCCCAGGAGCGGCGCGCGCGCCCGCCTGTCCTTGCCTGGCAGGCATGCTATCCCCTGACATCCGCCAACCTGCTTTCCTCAATCCGCGGCCCCAGAGGTCCCGACCGCCTCCGATGGCCCCGTGGCCCGATACCGGTCTCCAGCGGCAGGAATTGAGGAGAGACTGCCGGGAGAACGGATCGACTCGTCGGAGGTCTGGGTGCACCGTGCACCTGCGCCCAGGGGTGGCCCTGGCCAGCATCGGCGTGCAGGGTGCAGAGGCTTTGGTGGCGAGCCGAAGGGGCGGGCCTTCTCAGAAGGCTCGGAAGTCCTCTGGCCTTCTGAGAAGTTTTCTTGAGCCTTCCCCGGAGACGCAAGAACACTTCTCAGGAGGCGCGAGGGCTTCTGAGAGAAGTCCCGCCGCTTTCTGAGAGAAGGCCTTCTCCTTTTCACTTCCCCCACTCGGCTACACGCAAGAGTGACCCTAGGCAAGAGCGACCTTTGGCGCGCGGACTAAAGCGCGCGCAAAGTGGCCAAACCCCTGCGCGCAATCAGCTGCTATCGCACCGCGCTCGGCGATCGGAGGGCAAATCGCTTCGGAGAAGGGTCACTCTTACGTCTAGTCGACCCCCTCACTCGCCGCCGAAGGCTGGCGTCCAGCCCCCGGCCTCGTAGAGCAGCGCAGCGCGCTGTTGTGGCCCGGGCCTTGGCGCACGGGGCACGGGAAGCAGCGGCCGGTGGCCGTCGACGAGGCGGCGTATGGGGGCGGCGGCCCCTTCGGGCAGGCCCAGGGCGCCTGTTGGAGGAACTACGAAACCTAGGTTGTCTCCATCGTACTTGAGGACCACATCCCACCAATAAATTCGAGCACCCAGAAAAATATCGAGACAAGGTCTGTCCACCACGCTGGCAAGGCGTCGAACGAGTACGCCTCCCAGGGCCCGGCACTGGAAGCCCTTGGTGTTCGAAAGTCTTTCTGGCGCTCAAGGCTAAGAACAGATTGAAACATACAAAAACTGCATAAACCCACGCGGATTTTGGATCGCCGCTGGGCCCCTATCCCTGGCGCCGCCGGGGGGCCCCAACGCCGATCCGAGAGATCCGCGCGGGCGCGCGGGGCTCCGAAAGTTCATGTTTATGCCATGTTCGGGGGCGTCCAAGAGGGGGGAGGGCGAACATCATGGCCGGTGGCATGTACGCGGCCCAGGGGGGGGGGGCCGGGGACGCATTGAGATAAGAGGAGACGCGCTGAAATTTGGGGAGCTATCATGGCTCCCGCCATGATATCCACCCCCCCTAGTCATCACCCCCCTCCTTGCCGCCACCGAAATGTCTCGATATTCGGCCTGCGTCGGCCGCTGCGCCGGGCGGCCTCGTCGGGAGCCCCCCTCCGCGGCCGCCAGATAGAGGCTCGCGGTGCCGCGGCCGCCGCACTTCAGCGAGGAGCACTCGCGCTGGCACTGCGCCACGGGGAGCGGCGCCGCGGGATACCTGGGGGAAGCCTTCGGTCGGGCATGTCCCCCTACAGGCAGACTTTGGAGGACCCCCCCCAAAACAAATGTCAAACAAATACCCGAGGATGGTCAAACATGGTAGCAAAAATCGTGCCCAGACGTTTTTTTCACTATTTTGGGGTACTCCCCTGTAGACGGACACGCCCGACTTAAGGGAAACCAGAAAGACCGATACCACCCGATACCCGACCCCGCCCAGGGCGCGCTCTGATCAGGACTTCGAGGGGCCAATCCAACGAGGCGAGGAGGGCCCGCCCAGGAGGCCCAAGAAGGCGAACAGGAGGCAAGGGCATCGGCATCGGTACACACCTCTTCCTCCCCTGCGCACCTCCTGCAGCAGTGGACCTGTATGCCGCCGTCCTTGCCGAGCGACAGCCCCGCGTACTTCGCGGAGAGCTCCGCGCACGCAGCCAGCCCCTCCCGCGGCGAGCGCTCCCTCGCGAGGGTCAGCACGGTGCAGCTCCTCAGGTCCCTCTTCGGGTGCTGCCAGGAGTGTCCCTGGCCCAAGGCGTCCCCGAGGATCTCCAAGGAGGCCCCCACGACCTCCAGCACAACCCTTGCGAGGCCAAGAGGGCCTGAATGGCTCCAAGAGTGGAGCGAATGTCTGGGGACGCCGCGGCCCGGGACTACTTCTGGCAACACCCGACCTTTCCACGCTGAAGCAGCCCTCCATCTCCTGCGCTTGCGCGTCGTGCTTCGGCGCCGCGCGCAGAACCACCTCGTGGGGGGAGTGGATGCGCTGCACCATGGAGCTGCCGCCGAGCTCCGGGAAAACGCAGGTGAGGGGGGCGAAGTTCATGGTGCTCCGGAGCTCCGGGGGGACCCCTGGGTCCCTCAGCCTCAGTTGGAGACGCGCACGAGGGGATAGGGGGAGGGGGCAAAGCTTCTTAGAAAGAGGCTGCGTCTTACATCTACAGACAAAGCCCTCGCCTTCGAAGAAGCAGGGGTGCTTCTAAGGAGCCTTCCCCCTCCCCCTGCCCCCCTCTGCGCGTGGCCGGGAAGCCTGCACTCGCTGTAGACGGCCTGGAACTCGGACACCTCGGCCCAAAACCCTGTCCAGAGCTCTCGTAGCGCCAACATCTGCTGCACGTCGAAGGCCCTGTGCAGTACGACGTCCTCCTCGAGGTCGGGCCCCTGGTGAGCATCGTTTCAACGATCCCTATCCTCACTGGCGTGGCTTGGCCCCGCTGGCCAAATTACCCACCGAGGTGGGGATGGTCCTTCGGGCTTCGTGGGGAAACCCTCCCGATGGAAGACTTGACGGATCGATTCAGCAGCCCCCCCCCGTGCTCGTGACGAGGCGGCTGCCGCACAGCGGCTTCGATGCAGCGTTGGACTAGGGAGGGAAGGCTCCATCGCGAGAGGATGAGCTCATGATCCGGCAGTCTCATTAAGAGACCCCGCAACGTCCCCGGAATTCATGGCCACTTCCGTAAAGCTGCTCCTTCGGGAGTGTGGTACATACGGGCTCGGGAAAGAATAGCGAACACTCATGCCGCATTCATCTGTCAACGCTTCTCCCTCCCCCCAATGCTCAAAGTTGGCGGTGGGTCTGATGAGTTGCACATCGACCGCAGTCTCCCCCGCGCGTGCCAGCTTTGAGTTTTGGGGGGAGGGGGGATGTTCAGTAATTGTTTCCCTCTACCGTAGGAAGGTGGGCTGCTGGTGCTGAGATGCCATGGCCCAGTGGGGATGGGGCGACGGTCAGGAACTGTTGCTTAGCCTGTCGCGACGGCGGCCCCGGCGACACGCGAAGCCTTGCGAGCAGATAACGTGTCGCTGCGCTCCGCGGGGCGGGAGCCTGGGAAACGCCCGGGGCGTTGGTGCTCGTGTACCGGGAAATGGATAGCGTGTCGCGCCGAAGCGTGGTGAGCCAGAATCGGCGAAGCGACACGCTAACCCGCAGTACCCATCCGTAGACGTTGCTCAGCATAGGAGCAACGATAGGGGGGAAAGGCATATGGGGGGATGCATTGACCTCGAATGGCCGATACATCGCCCACGTATCGTCAATGCATCGTCGATGCAAACAGATGGTGCACGCGGCGCTGTGGCACTGTGCACTCGGATGAGGTCGCCAGGTCTCCGCGGCGAGTTCGGCCACGGCGCCAGCGCCGCGCTTTGCTCCCATCTCTCTGCCCAGGCCAGGACTGCGCCGCCCCACGTGGCCGAACCCTTCCCCAGTGGGGGAGAAGGCCGCCAGCAACAATCCGTAGGAGACGCCAAAGGAAAGGGAGCAGACCAAGAGGAGCGAGGCTCGCAGAAGCCAAGCCCTCGACGCATCGCTGGAAACGCCAGCGCGGGCTGTTGCTATTCATCCTCTTGCTTCTACTGTTGCTGCTCCTCGCCCCCTCTACCTCTCTACACTTTCCCCTTCCCCTCGCCACGCCGCTATCATCTCTCCTTGTCTCCCGCCCCCCCCCTCACCGCCCCCCTCACCTCGGAGTTCTGCGCCTGGTTTTCCTCCCGCCTCCTCCTCCTCCCCCTCCTCCTCCTCCTCCTCCTCTTCCTTTCTCGTTTGCGTCTCGTCGGAGCCGTTCTGGCTCAGGCATTTGGAGGCCTGAGCTTGTGAGCACGTCTTCAGAGCGGCTCGTGCTCACGAGCCAGGGCAGTACGACGATCTTTCAGCAGAAGGTAGGCTGTGCGGCGAGATGGCTCCTTCTCCTGATTCTGCATGGTCCACCATCAAACCCCGTTGGTTATGCAAGGACTGCAAGCACGAGAAAACAGGCAACGCCTGGATCAACGCGGGCAGTCGATTGTTCTGCAGCCTTTGTAAGTGTCACAAGGGGTCTTGCTTCGGGGGCAACGTCCTGCCTCTGCAGCCCTCTGTCTCGCAGAGTCAGGCCCGCGAGGGCACAGGCCAGCACCCTTGGAGTGGAAAAGGACGCAAAGGAACCAACGAGGTGGATCAGCTTCGGGAGAAAGTCAAGCGTCTCGAGCAGCAGATGCGCAGCAAGTCCGCCGCTGACAAGCAGCCAGGCGATATGGACATCGATCTCGCGGCCGACTGTGACGAAGGAGGTAACTGCAGCAAGCGGCTGCGGGAGATCGAGAAAGAATTGCAGGCGGTCAGCCAGTTCGCAGGCCCAGCGTGGGATTCCCTGCGCAACGAGCTCGAGTCTGAGCGCACCAAGCTCAGGCACCAGGCCATCTCTAGCAAGCCTGTCCATACTCGCATTCACTCTGTCACAAATCAAATACAACAGGCTGAGGCTAAGCTCCAGCGAGGCCGAGAGTCCTTCGAGAAGCAGAAGCAGCAGTTGGAGGAGCTCCAGCGCCAGATCGAGGAGGCCACCCGGGGCCTCACGCTCCAGGAGGAGCGCATCCAGGAGCTCAGTAAGCAACGTGCTGAGCTGGTGGCACAGAATGGTGGTCATGCTGGAGGGCAGCCTGTCCAAGCTCTCCGGCTGGACGTTACCAAGCTGCAGTCGTCGATGGGGAACTTTGGCCTTTCGCCAGAGCAAGCGGAGGCGGCGGCGAAGCAGTTGGCGACGGACCTCCCAAGCCTCATCACCAACACGCAGGTGGTCGCTCTCGAGGGTATCCCCGCAACGGCTCCTGGTGCTGCAGGTGGTCCTCCACGTCCTCGTGATCTCGGCCAGGGCCCCGGCCTATGGGAGCCCGACAAGGAGTCCGAGCAGGACATCCGCGGGTACCTGGACGGCCTCGGCCTCCTGCCAGGAGGAGCTCCTGAAGGGTTCGTTCGCCAGCGAGCTCGCGATTTGGCTGCCAGAGGTTTCTCGCCATTTTGATGGCCCCCTGCCAGGCCGGCGAACCGCCAGCGTGGTAGGGGGCTCCACCGTCCCCAGCGGGCAGACCTCTTGCGAAGCTGTTGGCCGCTTCGTTCTCCCGTCCTCTGCCTCGTCCTCTCTTCCCCGTTTTGTGTCGGACGATCCCGACGAGCGGCTTGTGCCAATTCTTGCTGGCCAGGATCTGGGGGGACCCCATTTTGTTAATCGCGCTGGAGCAGCCGGCGGCCAACAGAGGACCCTTTATTTCATCTGCGACGGTGGCTCCGACGTTTTTGTTGGGCCCCCGTCTGGCTCCAGTTTCTCGCCCCAGCAGGCGGGGGTGGAGCCTCGGCCGGATAGGGCAGTGGCCGTCGACGGTGCATGCGCTCCCTCGGTTGGGCTCCCGTTTGGCCCCAGTTTATCGTCCCTGCAGGCGGGGGTGGAGCCTCGGCCGCAGAGGGCAGCGGCCGATGACGGCGCAAGCGCGCCCTCTGCCGATCTTGCTGCAGTCAGCGCTTCGAGAGCTGGCGATACGGTGGGAGAGGACCGGGCCGGAGATAACTTTTTGCAGCAAGGTGCCGATCAGATAATGGTGCCTCGCACTTCCTCCTCGGTCCGTCCTGGCGGTAATTCCCCCGACCCTGCTGTTTGGTTGAAGTTTTTGGCCGATCTGCCAGTGCCAGTAGGTCTCAGCTCTCCGCAGTTGGACTCTCTATCGCTGGTGGTATCTACGATCAATTGTAACAGCTGGGGGTCGTTCAGGGACTGGATAATGAAGAGCGACCACTCTCACATCATTTTATTACAGGAGCACCACCTGCAGCAGGCTGACGCGATCAACAAGGCGGCCAAACACTGTAGGGACGCGGGGTGGAAATCTATCTGGGAGCCTGCACTCCGTACGCCTGAGGGGGGCACTTCGGGGGGGGTGGCTGTTTTGGCCAGAGATTTCCTGGGACTTCACGCCCCGAACCAAGGAACATGCGTGGTGTCTGGCCGTGCTATAGGAGCTATGTTCCATCTTCCAGGTGGGCCGACGACCTTGGCTATCTCTGTGTACGGGTACGATGCCGAGGGCATGACGGCTCGCCAGATCGACCTCTTGAAGGAGGTCGGGGCGTTCACATCGATGCAGGGCGGTCCTTGTATTGTAGGTGGCGACTTCAATTTGGACCCAGAGCAGGTCGTGGATTCAGGTTTGGTGGAGAACTTACGGGGGGAACTGATATCCACTGGAACTCCGACGTGTTTTGGGGCCACCTCTAGCATCAGGGACTATTTCGTGCTCTCGGGAGGGCTAGCCCAAGGTGTCAAGAATATTTCAGAGTGCCCCAACGGTTACTTCAGTCCGCACATGGCGATATCTTTGCAGTTTTACCCTGCTCTATGCCGTCTCCAGGCTCTCGGGTTCAGGAAGCCCCCGAAGTTTCCGGTCACGGCCCTCGCTGGTCCTCATCCCCGTCCTCAGGATTTTGGACGGTGCGAATTCTTGCTGGGACGCTGCGACAAGTCTCTGGCTGCTGGGAATTCGTCGGCTTTCGACCGTTTCTTCCACAGTGCCTACAAGCAGTGGGCCAACAGGACGGAGGATGAGCTGGAGGCCATCTTTACTTCCCTCTCCCTCACCCACGTCGTCCTGCCCTTCAAAGGAGCTCGGGGCAAGGATCCTGAAGTCATCTGGTCGTCTCTCTTACGCAAGGACTTCAAGGACATGAGATACCCCCAGCTGCACGCCATGAGGTGGGTCTCGTCACGATTCAAAGCGGTGCTTTTCTTGTCTCGGAAGTTTGCCGCGGTTTCTGGCATCTCGGGGGCGGACGTGGAGCTGGCCATATCCCTGGTCCACGCGCTTCGGGAGGCTTCAGACTGGATTAAAACCAAGCTGGGAGATCTTCGACCCCACCTCGACGCTATACAAGATGTTCTCAGAGGCTGGTCAGAGGAGAATATTTTTCCGGAGTATTTACAGGAGATGGAGGATATCTATTCCAGCCAGAAGGAGATGCTAGGAGCATGCATTGCCTTTCACGACAAAGTCGCGAAGCAAGATTGGCACGCTTGGCTCACGGAAAACATCAACAAGGGAGCTAAAAACGCACATTCGGCCATCAAGGACCCGCTCTCCTGGACCCCCTCCACCACCCTCTCCTCGGGAGGTGTGGTGGTGTCTGACCCCCTGAGTCTCTTGGACAAGGAATCCAAGCGTTTCAGTGCTCTGTGGAAAGTCCGGGAGGGGGCTCCGAAGGTCAAGATTAGACATGCCCCCGGTTTGCCCGAGCTGTCGGTGCAGGATTTGAGGAGAATCAGCAGGTCCTATCCTGAGAGGAGCGCGGTGTCCATCGACGG